GAACCCGCCACCCGCAGATTACGAGTCGAGCGCCCTAACCACCTGGCCATGCCGGGCCCGTAGAATAAAGTAAAGTATTTTTGTGATGCAATGGATGATTTTTTGTAAGCACGTGATTTATTTATGGGGGGGGGGGGATTGTTCTCATCTTTTAATTTTCTCGCAAAGCTACTCGAGAGCTATCTGTGATAGCTGTCTCTAATTTTGAAGTGATAGATTAGAGGGAAGGCAGCTAGTAAACACCACCAGCCGCCAACTCTTGGGCTACTCTTTTTCCAACGAATAGTGGAATTAACCGTCATATTATAGCGCCATTACGGCTGAAAGGACAATCACGCTCGGGTACGGAATTCGATCCCGCAACGCTCTGATTGTGAGTCGAGTTCCCTAATCACAACGCCTATTGAACAACCGTAGAATTTTGATAATATTTAAACGTTCCGTGCATTTTAATGTATAACCCTTTAACGCTATGTTTTTTAATAGTGGGTGCAATTTACTTTTGAACGTTTTTTTTTTTTTTCAGAAGTACAGAATCGAAAAGAAATCTTAATTTTTTCGGAGTTTATACTTTCATGTATTTGATCTCTTGTTTTGTATCATAGTTTATTTGTTTGACTGTTTTCAAAAATTCACATTTATTATGTTTCAGGCTTTAGGATCACCAGCTGGTTTCCAGAGTGCAGCAAGAGAATTGTTGGAATGGTGTAGTGACTCTCGAGCTTTCCAGAAGGTTTTTGAACAGAATCTAATTGCCTGCTTAACGGTTCGTTGTATTTGCTTTACTTCTTATTATATACTGGCTAATATATTAAAACGTTGTTCTTTTTTGTTTTTTTCTACCGATGGCTCAGTGACAAATTTGAGGGCTCCTAACGCTAAAATTCGGGTTTCGATAACCCATCATGGGTAAAACACGGATAGCCCACTGTGTAGCTTTGTGCTTAACAACAACAAACAAACAGAAATTAACCACGGTAGTTATATTTTTATTGATATTTTATGAAGAATGAAGAATAAACCAGAAACTGTTTGATGACAATATACCTCACTTTAGGCGTTGCGTTAAGCTTGGTTAAAATTCTGTATTGAGCAACGTAGGAATTTAGACGTAATTTAAATGTCCAAAACCCATGAGCCATCACACTGCACTCATCTGTGGCCAGAATGTCCTTTACGTGATGAAACTAATATCGAACCCCGAATTTTAGCGTTATAAACTCTCAAGCATATCGCTGAGCTCCCAGGTACAAGATGAAATCTGACAAATGCCAAACTCTTTGAGAAGACTTAAAGTTCCTCAGATGCAATGATTCGAATATCCTGTGGAAGTAAAAGGAAAGTATACACATATTAGTGGTTCTCTTTAAAACATGAAACCACCGAAACTATTTCCCTCAATTATTTTCTGGATCTGGCGATGCTAGCGTAGATCGCATTAACTAGATCCGTGGTGAAATAAGTATAAGTGTCAGCCCTGTTAGAGTGAATCAGTATAATTTCATCTCTTATGGTTAAACTTGCATCTTTAGATTCATTCAAATGGTTTGTCTTTCCACTCTTTCTATACCATGTTTAGCTTTCAACAGAGACCTTGTAAAGACCTGTTAAATCTCCTTTGATGTAGCCAAAGCCCAATCCTGTTATCCTCACGAACACCATTGAGTGGATTTTCACCCATAAGCTATAACTTTAAACTTCGCTTCTACAGTTTTTCTAAGAGTAATCAGTTCTTATTGGAGCTCTTGTAAAAAAAAATAGGAGTTTCTTTCTCTATTGATCAAAATAATCTTTCTCGTCTTTTATGACTCAAGAAGATAATTGTTCTTAAAAACTGTACTCCTGCCAAAGAACTTCGTAAATAAACTGTGATGGTCATAGAGGTCATACAAGAAAAAAGAAAATATAACACAGATAAGCTGCATCCTTTCACCTGGGTTTATAATTGCATTGTAGAAAAAAGACTTATAAATATGAAACGTTTCAGCTTACTACCTATTTTTTTATACTTATCTGATAATCGGTAGCGCATAATCCAGAATAGAGTGGATAATACTGTGGTAGGGTATAAGCAGGTGGCGTTTTTCAGCACTATTTCCTGCTGCAACTTTCAGTGCATTGATGCCTTTGGTAGCTTTGATTATCATAGCGTTAATGCCCGATAAAGTTGAGTTGTCTGTCAAAGCCTACTCCTAAATACTTTAGTATTCATTCCAGAAGGGTGGTAGCATCTGAAAAGGATAGTGATGGCTTCTCCTCATCAGCGTGTCTGTTGTTGGATGTGCAGATCACGTTGCACATCTTCGACAGGACTTGTGACCATTCCTGTGTAATTGCTCCCCTGTTAGGAGATGGATGCATCTTGTTTTCGATTATAGCTTTGTTAGAGTCTCCGCTGACGTCAGCAAAAGATAGTACACAACATCAAGACTGAGAAAAAAATTGATTTTTGAGACAGACCACTATTGATGATGATTAAATCAGCTGTAAATTCAGCAGCGTTGATACAGGTTTCTTTTTTACTATTATAACCACCTAAGGATGAGGATAGCAGTGATTCAATACGATGTCAAATATCCTAGTTACAAATTTTCTGGCATCTTGTCAATCATGTTTTGAAGGAAGATGATGATTCGATGGTCTTTGAGACAAGAATGATCCTTCAACGGTTTAAGTTAAACATAATTTGGACGTCCAAGACTTTTGAGCCATCATACTTCATTTATTGGTGGCCAGAATGGCTTTTACGAGACGGTTGCTAAAATTCGAATTTTACAGAAATAACATTAATATGCTCAAAATGAAGATTTGTTTGTTACACAATAAACTCCCAAAGGTGTGCTTGCTACAGGGATCAAACTCGGATTTTTAGCGTTATAAACCCCAAGCCTACTACCGACCTACTGGGGACAAGGCGAGATATTATGGGTCTAAGAAGATAATACATGGAAAGGTGAATATATATAACTTTGGTTGTTAGTCTGCAGAGACAATAGATTAGCATAGTTGTTCTGCTTTGAAAGAAAGATATGCAAAATGGATAGATTTCCATGGTTGTTGATCTGTGGAGTTGAAAGCTGGAAAAGGGAAGACATTGTTTTTGTTATTGGTCTGCAGAAATGAGTTGGAAAGGGGATAGATTTCCATGGTTGTTGATCTGCGAAGACGACGGATGCAAAATGGGAACGTTGTCCTTTTCTGGTTGAAATGAAATACATAGAAAGTTGGTTTATTACGTCATCGTGTTCGTTCATTAAATTGTCAGTACTTTGTTATTTCTAATAATGACGGTTGTTGTTTCGGTAAATTTATCTGTTTAAATAGCGGTTTAGAATGATATATTAAAATAATTTTGGAGTCTCACCACATTGCTAACGTCACCAAATCTGGTCGTGCTCTATCTGAGAACAGTGCATCATGAGGCTGTCATGTCCAAGGCATGCCACCTCTCTCTCTAATGGCTTCCCATATTCCATCTAGTGTACTGTCAAAATGTGGATCTAATACATACCGTTCCACTACGACTTTATATAAGCTGTAGTAGCTACGTGACTGTTGACTTGCACATTCAGAATTTTTAAAAATAACCCGTTATATAATCTGCGTCAAAAAGGAATAATTGAGAGACGTTAAGTTTTGTGTATAACTGTCATGAATAAGGATTTTACTGTCCCATTTTTTTTGAAGTTGCATAACTGTATATTGCACGAGCAGGAACCTGGTTAATAACCTATCAAAAACATTTTTTTGCTAATTTTGAAAGGAACAAACATGGCATATTTAGATGATTTCATTATGATTTGGTGTTTTCTTTGGAACGATTTGTTCCATTATACTTCATAAAATTAAGCTCGGCACTATTTTTTTAGAAACATTTTTTACCGTCATATTTTACATTTCTCTACCATTATTTTAAATCTCTATCCTGTTTTAGAGGTGGTAAAAGTCAGGTTTGGTTACTACGATATACAAATCACGTAAACGTGATAACCCTAACTGTCCCATTATTTTAAATCTCTACCCTGTTTTAGAAGTGGTAAAAATCAGGTTTGATTACTACGAGATACAAATCACGTAAACGTGATAACCCTAACTGTCCCATTATTTTAAATCTCTACCCTGTTTTAGAGGTGGTAAAAATCAGGTTTGATTACTACGAGATACAAATCACGTAAACGTGATAACCATAACTGTCCCATTATTTTAAATCTCTACCCTGTTTTAGAAGTGGTAAAAGTCAGGTTTGATTACTACGAGGTACAATTCACGTAAACATGATAACCCTAACTGTCACACCTATTTCTCTGTAATATTCTAAATTCATTTAATATTTACGTGCCATAATTGTCTTTAACGGCCCACTATTACAGTTTCAAAGTTTGAAACATTTTTCTAATAACCATTAGTTTTATACTACTTCTATGCTCTCGTGATATTGTTTCACTACAGTAATTGAAATATAATTTTGTAAGTTATCGACCATACATTCTCATTTGCTAAAACTATGGATGCGTCATTTTTGTGTTTCGATGTTATCTGCTCCTTGTAAGTTTATGGCCAGATAGTTAGGGCACTCAACTCGCAATCTGCGGGTCGCGGGTTCGAATCTCAGTCCCACCAGACATGCTCGCCCTTTCAGTCGTGGGGGCGTTATAAAGCTACGGTTAATCGTATTATTCGTTGGTAAAAGAGTAGCTCAAGAACTGGTGGTGGATGGTGATGACTAGCTGTCTTCCCTCTAGTCTTTCGCTCCTAAATTAGGGACGGCTAGCGCAGATAGCCCTCGTGTAG